CACGTAACGCCTCGCTGCCCGAGCTCACACCATTTCAACGCACAATCTCAATCTGACACTGTAATATAAACATTTAGGAAAACACACAGAACTCATAACAGAAACTCACAGATTGTTTATTTAACTACATAACATAGTACGAACGATTAGAGCTTTTGTGTAAATCGTCGAAATATACTGATGTCGGCGAAATACAAAGGTTATCGGTTGTACATTAATACATACATTAATACATACGATGTGACTACCTGCAATGAGGCACTAGTGGTTTAAACAAAAACTAATTAGCTATTGCTCCCGATCGGTTTTAGTATCTATTTGAAAATGTATTTTGCATATCCAGAAAAGCCTGTTAATCGTAGCAAAACACATCACGTAGATCGCGATGACAGTCCTTTTCAAATTATCGATGAATCATTGACGAAATTTAAAGCACATTCTTCTCCCGTTTACACTCAGAAGGTATAACAAGTATGGAAGTCCTAAGTTCGATTGGAACCGAACATTTAATACTCTTTCAACTTGCAGGAATCAAGGAAAAGATCAAGGGAAATAACTACTAATTTTCACAGTGGCTGAAATAAGGCTCTCTCATTCATTTATACTGATTTATTACGCCTTCAGTAGTTTTAAACAGCACCGTTATAAGAGCGAGCGGAGTTGTCTTCCGTATTTAATCCATTTTCCCACTGTCGACAAGACTTCTTATAATATTTGAGGTGGGTGAACTTGGTCATGGCCAGGCCCACTTTTTAAACAATTTTTACCAACAGCAGCTCTTGCTGCTGCGATCGCCCATGCCAAATTAAAGTTCATGGCGTTTTGTGGGCGTAACAGTGGTCCGACAGACAGTCAGCGGGATTTCAACCCATCTCGTCATCCTGATCATTTATATATATGTACATACATATAACACTATATTTTCCTCATTTAGTTTTAGGTGATACATACAACCGTTAGGTTAACAAACCTATTATACTATATTCTGGAGCAACAAGTTGCAAGAGTATAAAAATGCGGCTGCGTTGAGATTCCTAGACAGGTTACAGTTATAAAACCGGATGTTACATAGAATTTGTCAAAATAGCACAATACATAATTAAATGAGGGAAAACTCGTGTTCAGGAATAGTAATACTTCTTGGAGAATAAATGAAATATATACATAAACTTTAGCGAGCACGAACAGTTTAAGGGGTCAGTAGGATAATCTTTTTTATAGCATTTTCTGTTCCTTATACCCTTAGAATTAATGCAGAAACCCACTTTACCATTTGAAGATTTCAAAAATGGGCCAAAATATAATAATAATATCGTTCGGCGTTTGGAGCGTTCTCAGCGCACACCTCAAACTTTAACACACTTTTTTAAAGTGGTCGAACTACTCATCGGATTTGCTTAATTTTTTTTAAATGTTCACAAACCGCCTGACGTACTTTTTATAATTTATTGGCAATGTTATGACGAAATTTATGTAAAAAAACATGAGGGAAATTACAAAAAAAACGTTAAGTACTTTTTTTATTTATCAACATTTTTTCACGATTCTAGTAGGGACAATAACCATTCACGTGCTTTTTATACATATGTACATGAGAAATCGAGTCCGCCAGTGAAAAAACGCATTTCATTCACCCAGCCATTTCTCCGACAGATGTCATCAAAAAAATCCGAAAAAATTTGTTTATACACTCCACGATATACCGCATGATACATATGTACATATGTGAACAAAGTTCTATTGTAGAATAAAAATTTCTATGAAAACAAAAATATCAAAAATGTCAAAAAAAAAACAGGCCAGACTACCCTTGATCCCTTAATATAATTTTTGATCCGATTGGGACACATACTATACATCATGCATACACCTGCATGTCCCATCTCTCCAGGTACTGCTGATTTTTATTTTAAAGTATATGTATATCGCAAATATTAGTCTGTCAAAAAAGTCTTGCGGTATTTTTTATTTATTTATTTATTTTATTTTATAACGGTTTGATGACTCATGCCCAGCTCTTGACCGATGCTACGGCTGCTAATATGCCGGTCTCTTTCGACTAATTCAGCGATTTTGTCGCAATTTTCGACGACAGGCCTTCGGAGCGTGGCGCATCTTCGATCACCTCTACACCAGAACGAAAACGTTGAAACCATCGTTGTGCGGTGGAAATGGAAACTGTATCGGGTCCCTAAACTGCACAAATTTTATTGGCTTCTTGAGATGCATTTTTGCCTTTATCGTAATAGTACTGCAAAATATCCCGTATTTTCTCTTTATTTTGCTCCATGTTTGCGACGCTATAACTCACGGACGAGTTAAAAGAAAGGACAATCAATCAAACATGTGTTAGCGGGTGAAATGAGCTTTCCAAAAAGGTATAGCACGACCCGATGCGACGAATAAAACTCGAACTACGCGCTCTCAGTGCCAACTAGCGAAAATACCACAAGACTTTTTTGACAACCTAATATAAAAATTTTCGGCTGGAAAGAATCAAAGTAAGAGCCGACAGTATTATATCATACCTAAACAACTAGAAGAGTCATTACAAAATATTATTTCATTTATTGAAAATTAATGCAATTTCTAGTAGCGGTAAATCTTCGGCTGGTATTGTAAATTTGTATTTGTACACATTGATTACTTGATGTTTCATACTAAATTTTTCCAACACGTCCTTTTGTTTCGATATGCAGTTTTCTACAACAGATCTTTCATCTTCACTCGTATTTGACAGTGGTCATGTATAAATGCTGCAGTATCATTGGTTATTGATCTCGTCATATGAATAGAAACTACTCGTTTATTTGAGTAATTTTTTATGAGCGACTTACGTATGATTGCACTGAGTATCTTCGTTGCTGATTTTCTACACATCACTGATGTGCTGAACACAATGCTCGCGACAGACTGCAGCAGCACGACAGTGAACTGAAAATGGCGTTGTGAATCCTACTACAAGAACGTTTGTGAGAGGCCAGCAACATAACAATGGCCGGCATGTACACAAAACAACTCAGTTGTCCATTTTGCATGTACACAATTTCGTTGTGGYCATACTAATACCTTACACTTACCTTACACTTGAATTGTTATTATAAATGATGTAAGAGAGCTATTTTATGCTTTTATTTGTAAAATAACGTCAGGTTTGTTAGAGCTTTGAATAATTTTACATTTTACATATATTTGGTATCACCACTCTTCCTCATCTCTCTACTGTCAACTCTACTGTCGTTGGCAAAGAAAATACTGAAGTTAGCTAGAACGACAACTGTCAGCCTGCAGTCGTGTAGTCGTGCAGCTGTCAAAATAACTCTGTGTATAAGAACGTGTGTATTTTAATATTTGACAAATGTCGTTTGCAGTCTGTCTCGAGCATTGTGTTCAGCACATGAAGCAGTTTTCGCTGTGATGGAGAGGAATACATACATACGTAATATATATTGGTGCCGAGTAAAATATTTGAGCGGTGCGATCAGTGTGGTCGATTTTGGGCGTACTGTGAGTCACCACACCTAGCGTAGGGTGTGCACATCGTAGCTTTATCGTTCGTGCTTTCAAAGCACACAAAGCATTTGAACTTGTTTTGCATGCAAATTAAATGCATGATATTTCTTTTTGCTTTTTCGAAATTTGCTATAGATTTTTTTATATTTTACTTAACTTTTTTCAATATTGTTTAATTATGAGTTTCTAGACGCTATATTTATTTTATATTAAAGGAGTCACCAATTTTAGACCGATAAGAACTGGAATTTAAAGTAAGTAAAATAAATATGGAGTAGATACAGAAAATAATTGCATAACCAAAAGCATCCTAATTTATTTAAAATCAATCAAATGGACAAATACATTGACTCAGTATGTCAATTATTTCTCCTGACTGATATTGGCAAGCATTCATTAGTTCAGTGCAAGTATAGTTGGTAAATCGTTTCTAGAATATTTATCCAACTTAACCTTAACAACAATACACGAATAATTTTGTAAAATATATACAACATTTATCAAATTACAAATTCTGTTATTTTTAGTAACCCTAAAATACATTTAAAACATTTTTGCCACGCCCTCATATGTGGATAGGTACATATGTGAATGTCGGTACGTGCGTTATGCTTGTTTTTGAATGACAAATCCACAAGCGCTATACTATATTAAAAACAGAGACTATCTTCTAGAATCTTGAAGATAATTATCCTTCAAGTTTATTCGATTCTGTTGACTTTTATTTTTGTATGTATCTGTATCCATTTACACTTTTTCATACCTCTGATACTGAATATGAGGATAACGTATCTTGGTGCCAAAAATCATGTCGGATCCTCCTCTTAACACATTAGCACATGGGGGGCTAATATAAGGATTTTAGAGTTTCTAGTTGGCTTCATACTTATTAGTCAATGTGTAAGGTATCTTAGGAAAATTAAATAAGGTATGAAATGATTTTCACAGATTCTAAGATCTGTAAGATTATGATGTATCTTAATCAAACTTATTGGGATCATGTTGCCGAGCTTAATTGTTTTAATAACAAAATTAAATAAATTGAGTCTAGGCCAATTTAGACGTACCAATCCCATCACTAAGTATCTGGTAATGAAACTAAGTGAGTAAAATGAGTTATTGAACTAAATATTTTAGTATAAAGCACATGAATACATATGTATATACTAACTTTTAATAACATTTTTTATCCCTATACATACATATGTATCTTTGTGTATTCGCTTTTTCTGTTTTACCCTAATTCGCATATTTATGGACGTCTCTATCTTTTTATTAAAATTTCTGTTTTGCTCCCATTCTAAATAATTTATTCACTTTTAATATGTATTTTTATCGTTGCTTTTGTTGCCTTTGACGTTACCACCGCAGTGATTATAGCGCGTGCTCGCTGCATTAGTCATCCATACTACATATTATAAGCGGCCACCAGCCAAGTGGACGCGTTCGCGTTTACGTTCGCGTTAGTACCGCAGTAACGTACAGAGGGCTTTTACTGTCTATCGTATAGTGAACGCTCACTGTCTGGGAAATTCTTACAGGAGAGCGGAAGCTGAAACGTCCAGTAGCTGCAACGACAACACACAAAGCGAGCTGCAGCGGAGCCGCCAACAGTACCGATTGTCATGGCACTTTACACGAGCGAACGCGCGAGCAAACGGGTGACTAAGCCACGATCAGCAGCCAGTCAGTATTTCAAGAAGGCAACCAAATAGCTGACCCTAGCGTTTGCCAGGCAACGTAAACGTCACCGCCAGTGCCAACTCTATGTATTAGTAAGCAGCAGTAGGGTAACTGATCGTGCAAAAATATTTGTGAGCAGCATTTCCATTTGAACGTTTTACCTATACGTACGTGTCGTACATGTAACCATAGAGTGCGCGCGGGGTTATAGTAATTGAAATACATATGTACGTGTACGCATAAACAACATATTTCACAACCAAAATAAATAACATATGTTATGCATATACATATGTATGTATGTACATGGTACATATGCACATACAATCGTAATTTCAATAATAATGTACGAGCAAAGGACATCGTGAAGTGCTAATTCGAATGCATAACATAGTGTTAGTGCGAATGTGAATCTTAACTGTGAATGTATAACATGTCCACACAATAATTAATCAGAAAAATATTTCAATAAGGACATACATATAGAGTTATTTCTTTTATCAGTGACAAAACTCTTTGTATTTTAAAATTTCAGTTTAGTAGCATACATGCATGCATATGTACATTTGTACATATAAATGTTGCAACATTTGTACAAATTTATATTTTACATAAATACATACATATGAGTAATTTTGTTCATTTTTATCTGAAGAAACGCATATATACAAGTATTTACCTTAGCACAATTTTTATGTGATAATGACAATGTGGCGGGACAAATGACAATTTTAGCATGCAACCTTCGAACGACAACAACAAGCGATCCTCGTAGACTTCCTCGTCGTGCGGAAGCGCCACCGCCTGCAGGTTTTTGGTACTATGTATAGATGGCTTTACAGTACAGAGCATTAAAATTTAGGTAAAATTTACACGTTCAGTTAACATTAGATGCAGCAATATTGCCGCCGTTATCTGCAGTGTCGTTTAGAAATGTCGCCCTAACTAACTGTCAACAACGTTCTTGCTGCAGTTATGGCTTATGGAATTTTAATTTCCTTACCAAATTTTATTTAAATTTGATCTGTGCTTCAGAAAGGAAGGAAATCGGAAATCTTGGATTCCGCTTGTCTTTAAAAATTGGAGAAGGTGATCTTTTCGTAGAAGAATTATCATAATTCATTTAAATCCGTATAAGAAGAATTTGTCGCGATTGCATGTCAGGGTACACAGTCAATATACGCACGCGCCTTGTTTACATAAAAATACTTTTAATCGGATCACTTGGGGCTCTTTTTTGTATAAAAGGCAATTTAGGTTGTGTTCTTTTATAAAATTTCACAATACATACTATATAATATAATATTAAATTAAGCTGCATATTAAATGTAGTATAGTTCATACATATTCATATATAAGTCACTATATACATTTTATGGTGATCGAACTTAAGTGGTTCATGCATAAAAACAGCGCCGTTAAGCAAAACATTGCAAAATAAGAATTCATAAATATATGTACACAAAAATAAATATAGAAGTGAGAACGAGAAGGAGAATACACACAATTAATTATGACAAATATATTTATGTATGTAGTGGACTAAAACAACCAAATAAGCAAAAGTTCAGTTTGTTACCAGCAAAATTTAATATAGGGGTAACAAAAAATGGTATTGTACCAAAAGGCGAATGAGTTTTGTGTGGGTGAAGTATTGAAGGCTTGTCTACAGCTGCGACACTTTAGTTGCATGTAATGGAAATAGGAGTGCCGCGCGCCGTAAGTGTACGAAATCGAACAATAAATATACATAAGTACATATAATACAAGTCACATAATCGCTAAAAAATTATACAAGAACTAATATAATATAATAAAAATCAAGAGGGCATTCGTATTACAAATTAGTCAGTTAAAATGCATAGCAACAATAATAATATCGCAAACAAAAACCAATGTGACAGTTGGCCGAACAATAACGACACGGTAACAGTGGCGCTGTTGCAGCAACATCAACAACAGCAGCACGTGCGATCACAGCAGCTATTACAAGGGCAGCAAATACGGGAACATCACCATCAAGCTCGCATTAGCAACTGGATCAGTGATACGAACCGCTCTCACTATTCACTATTGCATAACAATAACAGTGCTCAACTCAATTGTGTTCAACAACGACAACAGCAGCAACCGCTGCAACTGCCAACAACATACCTGCATGAGCATACATATGGAAATTATGCGCAACCTGTGGCAACCACTAATTCTTCTCCTCATCAGCAACAACAGCCACCGCCGCAAATGACGGATACAGCAGTTTCTGCCAACAATTGCTACTACAGATCACGGATGCAGCAACATCAGAAGCTCAATGGCCAGCCACTGGCATACCTGGAACATTCAGAGTATGAACAGAGTTTAGCGCAGAAGCAGCTGACAACACCGCTGCACCCTCCATTCTCAGCTGCTACTAAAGAGTCGCTATCACCGCAACCACGTTCACAGTCTCCTGGATTAACACCGTCGCATACGACCACGCGTATATTTCAGCAGCGACTGGTGGTTGCCGCTGCTGCAGTGGCGGCACGCAACGTAAATCAGCAGCATCATCGGGTGAGTATATATTTGAATCGTTGCCTAATTAGCTACTCCTCATCTGTATTTTGATTTGTCGATTATTGACGGTGGGTGTGGCTTTAGATTTTGATTGCGTTTTTGATTTACTTTCATTAGTCAAAAGAATATAATCACACCAACCTACATGTACATATGTATGTTAGGTGTAAACATAATACATACATACATATATTATCATTTTATAAACGGTTATTCAAATTTGAAGCAATCTTACTACAGCGTCATTAGTTCAATTTTTGAGAATTTTGCATTAACCAATATTCACCATGAATATACATACATAGTTACTCCAAAATGACGGTCGCCCTTGCGTTATTCTACCCTGAACAGGGTGTTATTTTTTAATGAACATAATTTTAATATTTTAGTACTCGGACAGGTTTAGGCCGACGTCAATCCTTATTGTTTAGTTTTATAGTGATTTCTCTCTCATTACGATTTTTTTTAAGTGTAGGGTAAAACATGCAGTAATTTTATTGAAGTTTGAATTAATTTTTATAATAGACAATTTCTATAGATGAAATGCAAGTGTTGTGAACCAAATTTGGTTTAAAATGATTTAAAGTGAATATTTTACCGCCATAATAAAAATCAAGTTGGTTCATACAGCTCGCATTCACATGGATCCATGAAGTATGTTTTGTCTATTTCCTAAACTATTTTTGACTACTGATTAATAATATATATACAGAATCCTCTGATATTATGATTTCATTGACATACATACATATATAAATACTTACATATATACATCCATTCAATTACTGAACACAGCTTCACTTCGGCAATTAGAAAGTTAACTGAGCACAACTGTTTTAAAACAGTTTCATCATTACGTTATTTATTAAATAGCCGTTCTCCCTTCAGAAATAAAACTACTTCCCCCCCTCCTTTAATATATCAAAAAGAAAGTGTTTGGAATATTGCTGGGTTATTCATGTAAAATTTGCTATGTTCCTTCGCTCATTGAAGCTTATACTCGTATGTATATACATACATATATATTATGTATGGTGGCCAAAGGAGGTATATATACATATATAGCACAGCGGTCGGTAAATTCAGCACTTCTGAAGAATGTCCAAGTGAGTTGAGGCTGACCGACTTCGCCAAGCCCGAAATACAGTTATCCGTAGCACCAGTTTCCGTCGACTCGGACCACTATTTTCTTGCAGGCAAGATACGCACCCGCCTCTGTGTAGCAAAAAACGTACGTCAACAAACATAAGGAAGGTTCGACATCGAGAAGCTGCAATCATAACAGAGAGCCGAACGATTTTCTACTTGACTTGCAAACGAAACCATTGCTTTTCGGAAGAGACAAAAGAACAGCTGATACGATGAGGAGTGCAGTGTCGCAGTGGAGAGAAAACAGACTGCCTACCTCACAACGTTGCAATCAATCACAACATGTGCGGAATAGGATAGATACCTAAAGTTGAAGAGGAAGGTGAGACGCATTAGCAGACAAAAAAGGAGACAGGCCGAAATGCGTGAATACGAAGAGCTTGACAAGCTGACCGACCCCTGTTGGCTCGAAAATTCTACGGAAATACGCGGCGGCTAACAGAAGGTTTCGAGGTAGGAGGATAATCTTGTAGAACCCCCAAGGGTGATCTAGTGACTGATGCCCAGAGCTCACTGAAATTATGGAGCGAATAATTATCCAACCTGCTGAATGGCAGTGAAAGCTTAACAGCAGGCCCGATTCCCAAATCGATGACGATGGACCGAACGTTCCCTTGCCCGACCATTAGACCATTAAGGGGCTATACCAGTGTAACGCATAACAAATTAGGCGATTTTTGTGAATTTTTTAAAGAGGAAGTACGCGATTGAATATTTCGAACTTCTTTGAACTTATTACGTATATTTTGCTATATTTAAAGTTTTTTTTAACAAAAATTTTTAAAAATCACGGAGTTATGGGCTGTCTTGGGAGATGCCAAAAAAAAAGTGATTCCAGTTGAATGAGTAGCTGAAACAAAAAAAAATTGAAAAGTTTATTAAACCTAAAGATATTTCCTATTCAATGACCTATGATCTTTGAAAAATATCAAAAATTAACAAAATAGCGTAATTTTGAAAAAAAAAGGTTTTTTTAGGTAAAAAATTGTCGTGTTTTTAATGCTAAATTGACAATATTCAACTAATCAAAAAGATCGAATCCCCGATTTTACAGGATATTTATGGAAATATAAGCTATCGAGCAAATAAATTTTTTTTTTAAAGTGTCATACAGGTATAGCCCCTTAAGAAGTTCGTTTAGCAATTACCCGACGATTGGAATTTAAAATTTCTGCCCAATTCACAAAAAGCAAGACCCCACAAATCTACGCCAACTACCGGGGGATAAATCTCCTCAACATAGCATATAAGGTTCTATCGAGCGGACTGTGTGAAAGATAAAAGCCCATCGTCAACAAACTGAGTGAAACTACGACACGAGTTTTCGAGAAAAAAGTTCTACGAAAGATTTATGGTCCTTTGCGCGTTGGCCACAGCGAATATCGCATTCGATGGAACAATGAGCTGTATGAGATATACGACGACATTGACATTCAGCGAATCAAGAGAAAGCGGCTACGCGCGCTAGGTCAAGTCGTTCGAATGGATGAAAAGACTCCAGCGATGAGAGTGTTCGACGCAGTACCTACTGGGGAAAAGAACAATTGGCGCGCTGTTGTAAACCCGGCTACGGCTAAAACTACGCCAATACCTAAAGAAGAGGAAGATATTGATACATATACTAAAAATTTTAAAATGTGGAGCTTCCTTTCATTTAATTAAGATTTATTTTCAATAAAAAAAATATACTACCTGGTTATAACAAAATCCATCTTAAATCTTAAACAGTTCTTAAATTGGCGCTCAAACATTTTTTTAAAATGGGTTAAAGGTATAGTTAGCCACTCTAATGTGTGGAACACAATGCTAGCGACAGACTGCAGCAGCACGACAGTGAACTGAAAATGGCGTTGTGAGTGCTACTACAAGAACGTTTGTGAGAGGCCAGCAACATAACAATGGCCGGCATGTACACAAAACAACTCAGTTGTCCATTTTGCATGTACACAATTTCGTTGTGGCCAGTGAAAATTTTGGGTGAAATTTTTTATGCAAAAAATAAGTAAATAGGTAAATTTATTCGTGTCAAATTATCAATTGTTATTACAAATGATGTAACAGAGCTATTTTATGCTTTTATTTGTAAAATAACGTCAGGTTTGTTAGAGCTTTGAATAATTTTACATTTTACATATTAGTGGCATCACCACTCYACCTCATCTCTCTACCTTCCATTCTACTGTCAACTCTACTTTCGTTGGCAAATATTGGATAAAATTGTAGTTAGCGAGAACGATAACTGTCGGCCTGCAGTCGTGCAGCTGTCAAAATAGGTCCGTCGATAAGAACGTATGTATTTTAATATTTGACAGATGTCGTTTGCAGTCTGTCGCGAGCATAGTATTCCACACATAAGTGTGAAGATTGTTCCGAAGAGCTAAATACAGTTGAAACGAAATTGTTGATTTGCCGTAAATATTCAATTACAAAAACCTTCTTTACAATACTGAACGGATAGAGCACCTCATGCTAATTTTGATCCTAAAATTTTATATATTTTTAGATATATAGTTGATTTAGGTTAACAAAACTATTATGTTCTGTATCAACATGTTGCAAAACTATGAACTTTTCATACCATGAAAAGGGTATATTAAGTTTGCCATGATGTTTGTAACACCCAAATTGAAAGGTCGGAGAATTTTTAGGCTTTTACTTATATCATACTTTTTCCCTCTTTTTAATAAACTCGTCGCAATTATAGTAAAACCAGTCAGCGCTTGCAAAGATTTTTTGTTCCAGAAAACCAATATTTATATATTTGAAACTCGTGTAATGTACAAACACATACAACACTACCTCCCGCGCTCTTCGTTTTAAAGGCGCGAAAATCAAAAATGGTCAAATGGTTATAATTACTTCAAAAGGAAGTATTTTCCATTTGTTATTATATATCCCTCCATTTGCTTTTATGTATGTATAACCAAAACATATGAAGTAAAAACCATGTACAAAGCAAAAAATGTTGACCTCTGTCATCCGACCTTCCGTCTCTCTGTACATACTCGAACTGGTCCCTTAGTTTGTGAGCTTACTTCCTCATTTGTTGGTACAGCAGATATATGACCACCAGATTGCTTGCATGGAAAATTATTTGATTTGAGCAGATCTCATCACGAAATTTGGCATAGACTGTTATCCAATGCATTACTCCAATCCCCGCTGAAATTCTTCAGATAGAACCAATATAGCATATAGCTGCTATACATACTGATCGATAAAAATCGAGATAAAGATCCTTTGTCCCTTTTATGCTATAAGAATGCATCTGGGAAGTATTATATATAGCTTCATTGCACCTGAAATTAATACTCATACACTATGCGACATATTCTCCTTAAGGTTTGTAAGAAAAACGAAAATCATTATATGGTGTATGTGGGAGCCGTATTATCACGTCACATACTAAAAAATGTTTCTTGCGTTTCATAAAGGTACGTTCACAAATTTACCAATCATATGGAGCAAAGGCAGTCCGATGTTCGAAAATCCTGGTAGTGGTTGGTCAAGTTTTTGCGCAATTGTATCTACGATATACTATTATGAGTAAAATATGTTGTGCAATTTTCATTGAAATAACTCAAATATTGGCCGATATATCCAGCATAAAGTCACCTGGAAGTTCGAAAGTCTTCATATTAGGCATATGGGAGCTCAGGAAAGTATTGACTCGATTCAAGCCATTTTTAATACACAGAATTACTATTGTCAGGAAAAGATTTTATGCTTTGTAGGTTACGAGATATGTACATTAAACTTTTTAGAGGGCGGGGACACACCCACTTTTTCAAAATATTTACCTTACCCTTTTAGCTCTTGCTACTGTGATCCCCTGTGCAAATTACAGTTTCAAATCTAAATTAAGTACGTACATATTTATGGCTTTTTATAGGATATCGGTTAATGGCGATTTGGGGCGTGGCGGTTTTCCGATTACCCCCATCTACGGACTCGTAAATTTTTTTGTCTCAAGAAACCTGCATACCAAGTTTCATCAAGATAACTCAATTTTCACTCAAATTACAGCTTGCACGGACTGACGGACAGACAGATAGTCTCCCGAATTTCAAATCATCTCGTCATCCTGACCATTTATATATACATATGTACATATAACCCTATATCTATCTACATTAGTCTTAGATGATACGCACAACCGGTAGGTGAACAAAATAATAAGACTCTGTGGCAACAGTTTGTGAGAGTATAAAAATCGATTAGATATGCAAATGTCACATTACATAAGTATGTATGTATGTATATATAGTACATTTCATGTTACTCATACGACGTCGCCGACGACAAAGCTACGGACTCTAAACTGAAACTTTACTTTTGTAGTTATAACATATTATATTATTATATACACTATATATGTATATGTATATGTATACCGAATGCTCAACGAAAACGAATGTCTTTTTCCGCTTGGTGCCCTGAAGAATTAGCTGGTTTGCAATTTAAAATGTTTCTTTTTTTATTCAGCCATAAAATTTATAAGAAAAAATGCCTTAATATGACCACACTACAACAATTAATATCTTTTAAATTGTTAGGTTTACGAAAAAATCGTTAGCCACCATTTGGTGAGCATTCAATTTCCTACAAACCCCACGAAACGATATATTCTTCATGTAGTTGGAAGCGAAATTTGAATTTTTTTTATCCATAATAAGAAAATATAATTTTCAGGGTATCAAGCGAAAAAAACATCCTCATTTTACTCACCCTCTTTGTGAGTTTTGCGTCATTCTTTCTTTCGCGTAAATTTTTTATTACAAGCATTTTAAGTAAGCTTTAAGATTAGATTAGAGCACAACATTGATAAGCATTCAAGGAAATATTGAATACATCTATTTTACCTTTTACACGTCATTATCATGACTTCACAATGTAAATTTAGAGCTTGACATAATACATACGACGCATTGTATTGTATACACGGATACATACGTGTTTTTATACGTATACATATGTACATATGTTTATATGGGATTTTTTATCTCATCTAAAAATAGATATAGTCTTAAAATGTTGCAAGAGGGAGTATAATAGTTTAGTTCATATAACGGTTTGTTTATAATACGTAAAACTAATGAAGATAGATGTAACCGGGATTATAAATATAAATAATAAGCCGTCCGTTCGGCAATAACTTGAGTAAAAATTACTTCAGGAACTTTCAGGATAAAGTTATGTACGGAATTTGGTTGAAATGGATCGAGTATTTCAACCAAAATCCGTACATACATAACTTTATCCTGAAATGTTTTTATTACAGATTGAAATCGGACTACAACCACGCCTACTCCGTTATAATACGATTTTAAATTCTATCTTATTCATTGGAATATAATAGTCATGTTCATGAGAATTTCAACAATTTTAAGATTTTCCCTCCATTTTTTATCCTTATTCACATCTTATATTACAAAAATCAGATAAACATATTCATAATATCAGTTTAGTTTTCAAAAATAAAGATATAACGTTAAGAGCATCGAAATCGAAAGCAAAGCGTTGAGAATTGTAATTGCATAAACTCATTTTTGTATGTAAGCCATCAACAATTTTTAACAAGTGTAAAGCTTTATGGTTTTATTATATAATATGTCTGTTATGAATTCTTCCATTCTAATTTTCCAGTTAACAATCCCTTTTTAAGGATCAGCAGTTATTCTTTGAGCTTCTCTTACCGGAGCAGTCATAACATTGACAAATCTGTATTTTTCATGAATTTCGGTTTTTGAAGACCAAGAAAGAGTTTGCCTTTCAACTTTTCCATACTCAGCTTCGGAAATTTTATACAAATGTAAATAAAACAATATCCTTCCACATCCATTGCCTTGACAAATTGCTCCGTCATTCCTCAATTCCCTTCAAAATTCCTCAATTGCCTACATTTATTTTGAGAAAATAACTTTTGTCGTAGATGTTTCATCCTACCCTTCACTTCCACTATTTCCAATTTATGGGAATTTGGGCATCAGTAAGTAAAACAGGAAATTTTGTAGACTGTAATTCTACATATCTCCTCGTCTGATTTTTAGTGAACCATTCAAATTTTCCGAATTATTTTTCGCATATTTTTGGTAAGGATCCTGAGAGTGGAAATCACATGATATTTGTTGCGCGATGAGGGCGTCCAGAACCCTAATCATGACTGGAAAAGTAAAGTTTTATTACTAACAATCCAGTAATTGATTAAAATATAAGAAATTGAATTATGAAAACACAATGGCACATTCTTTCATAAATATACTTGCATCAAAATTTGCTAAGGTATCCAGGATATCAGACGAAGATAGTCTTTTTGTAGAGCTGTTTAATTATTGTCGTGTACTATCGAATGGTTTTACAAGTTTTTTCCAGCTCTGAAGGAATAGTATAGAGTCAATAAGAATCAATAGTACAAGACAATAATAACACAGTTCTACAAAAAGAGTAATACCGGAGTTCTGTACTGTGATACAGTCACAAGTCTCTATAATTGAGATTTTTAATTGGAGACAATTTTTGTGACATAAGACGATTTTGCACTTCAGTACGGGGCAATCACAAAGATCTCTAAATTGAAAACGAACAGGACTAATCGGCTATTGTGTTAGTCAAAACGCATAATTACCATTAAAAATAAAAATATATGTTGACTTTGATACAGAATATTTACGAAATTTGTGTGAAATTGGAAATTGCAATCGCTTAATATCTATGAAGATCTCTATAAGTGACTAGTCAGTATATTCATGGTAAGGCAAACAATAGTTATTTCTAGTTTTGTGACCTGCTTATGATCATGTAACAATTTGAGACAATATTTTGTGACTAAAGACTTGAGACTATGTTGTGAATAGTAGCTTGTCACAAATTGAGACTTTACTTCAAAATATCTCAAATAGTGACTCATTTATATTATTTTTAGGATTAAAATTTGCTGTTTACCATAGTTTAAATTCTTATACCATATTTTCTAAGTGAAGCTTTAAATGCGTTTTTCTCGAAACGACATTTTTCAAAATTGCTGGCGTCGTAACTCAACGAGAAAATATCCGATCGGCTTCAAATTAAAACTGAGTGTTTTTGAATACTTTTGCTATGCAATGACCTACGATCTTTTTGATTGGTTGAAAATTATCAATTTGCCGTTGAAAAAGCGACAATTTCTACCAGAAAAAACGATTTTTTAATTTTGCAAAATTACGTCATTTTGTTAATTTTTGATTTTTGATCGTACGTCATTGTATGGGAAATATATGTAAGTTTATATAAGTAAAGTGGTAAAGAAACTTATTTTAGGTAAAATCATAAATGTGCTTTTTGGTGAAAGAACTTAGCAAAACCGTCAAAATAACAACAAACAAAATGTTTGCTAACTTGTTTCATACGTCATTCGTAAACAAACATAAGCATGTAAAGATTGCTGGTGCGCATGCCTTTATGAAAATATACCTACAGACGTGTTCGAAGTAATAAGAACAAATAAAATGAGCAAAGAATATATTTTATTTAAACTCTTTTTCGACAAATGTTTGTGCTTGGTTACAGCTTTTAAAAACTGCAAAACTTGGTTATCATATGCACTCAGCCAGAAAGGCTGAAATGATATAAAATGAAATTTTGATATAAAAATGTCTCCTGAAATGTTTATATAAAAATTTAAATTGAAAATTCAGCCGTTGAGACATCATCTACCTTGGTGTCTCACAAAAAAAGGGTTGGTTCGTCTAAAATTCTTAGTTCATCTAAAACCAAAAATATTCCGTTAGTACATATCGTTACCTGAAATGCAAAATAACGTAACAATAAATATTTTCGGAAATTTACAGTGGCATGAATGAAACACGAAATAAAATGGAACATGAGGGAAAAAATGTTTTAATATTGGATAAAATTGGTTTATATCTGAGCGCAGAACCTGAAAATGTTGAACATACATACATATCTAATATTATCTATGTAATTTGAAGTAGTGAAGTGTAATAAATAGAACACTCAATTTCGATTTTTTGATGACACGTTATTTTGCATTTCAGGTGACGATATACATACATACATATGTATATAATGCTCGGAACGGAAAACGCATTTAAAGTTTTACGCTACACCGACGTTGCCTGATGGGCGGAACTTCGGAAGGGTTTATCTCTTAGAATTTCACTCGGATCAATTTAAATAATTGGAAGAATATTTTAAGCATATTGTACTATTTAATAAGACAAAAAAATTTTTTTTTGAAATTTTCGAGCCCACCCACCTGACACAGGTTCGTCTACAAACTTTTTGGCAAATTCAAGTAGCCGGTTTGAGTGTACATTAAAGTTTAAATAAAATACTTTTACAAAAATTTTACTCCATTTTAGTTCTTAATATTTCGATCATATCTGATTACTTGAGATCCAATGCATACAGATGTCGAGAGAACTGAATATATGTACATTCATACATATCACAAACATACATAGATATCTACACTATGAACTGAAAGACATTTCGAAAGAAAAGTTAGTGAAGGTGGACGTGTTTTTTGGTGTTCTGGAATATTTGCAAGATTTTGTAGTTTTAAAGTGATAGCAATCTTGTTCGTGTTTRAGACTTACCGGGAGACTGGAACTGGACTTTTAATCGATTGGATGCTAATACCAAAAACTAGATAAGTACTTTGATTTAGTTCAATTAGAATTTATTTGGCACT